TTTCGCTCTAGAGAAAATAAATATATTATCGTTATTGTATTTGAACGAGGTCGTTCGAACGCGGTCCAGACATGAGGGACTTGAAAGGGCTATATTTAGACTTATTGGAGGTCTCAGACAGCGAAGCTCTTCAAAGCAGTCTACTCTAAAGATTATTATTGTCTGTCCCAGTTCCTCTAATGAGTAAACAGGAAAAGAAACGCTTTGTGGCCTCTGAGAAGCGTCACACAGGAAGTGTCACAAGGTACAAAGGTAGAAAAGGATATTAATACTCGTGTGTGTGTGTGCTGGTGTATATACATATATACAGTAAACGGTCCGAGTAGCTCTAGTTTGCTATATAGATGTGTCTTTTTTTAGAGAAATCTGGTGTAAAACATGATTATAAAAAAAAATGAAACATATATTTTATAAATTATACATTGATTTACACCCACTTTAATTTTCATTATAGACAACTCATAGAAATAAAGGAATTAAATACTTGCTTGTAGTGAGCGAATAGATACAGCGTCGACTACCGAAGGTTGGTACTTTCAAAGGATTTCCCAGATCAGGCGTTTTCTTTAGCAAACAAAATCAGAGACGCGATCTACATTATATGATCTAACATTTTAGAAATAAAGGAATAAATTTTAGAACATAATATATATATTTTTTAAATGCAATTATATTTAATTGATTATATATATATATATATAGGAAGGAGATGGTCCGGAGTGGCGGTCATAAATAGGCTGAATAGTGGCAAAACTATTTTATTAAAAGCCTCCAATACCCTCCATCCCATTCGTCCTCTTTATCCCCCCCCCTGGTTTTTAAAGATTTGTCCTCAAAAATTTCCTCCCTCGCAACATTCCTTACATCTGTTATTGGTGAAGAAAATATTTCAAAACTTTTTTTTTTTAATATTATTTTAATGGAATTTACAACTGTATTACATATAAAATACAATAAGTAAATGTGAAATTGATAACATGACATGTACAACATGAAGAGAAACTACCCATTGGTAGAACTCAAATTAAAGTTCTATATTAGAAGATCCCGAGGCCATCTTCTTTTCAGACGCCTTGGAGGGTTATCATACATAGGAGGAGGAAGCAACGTTTGAAACGAGAGGATTCGGATGGTTCTGCAGTTTGTTATGGAAGGACAGGTATCTAGATTGGGCCAAATCAGAAACATATGGAACATTAAGGTCTTTATGGTTGATTTTATTTGTGACAAAGTGAGGAGCGTTGAGGATTTTACGAAGGAATTTGGATTGTAGGGATTGGATACGAAAAGAATTCAATGGTTTAGTGGAGTCCCAAAGCTCAATTCCGTAAGTCCAAATAGGTCTTATTATTGTCATATATACGAGTCGTTTATAATTGATTAAAAGATTAGATCGTTTGTCTAGTAAGTGCTGCAGATTCCAAAACTAAAGTACATGATATCACAAATTTGTTCCTCTATTAAAATCATTAAAAATCAGTCTCTTCAATCTAAATTTAATGAAATATATCAATATTCTCTTAAAAATAAAATTTATCCCAAAGGCAGTGAAAAATGGCTCAACAATATTTCCTCCATGAATATAGCCCCTCAGGTAGACAATATTTTAAATTTGGGGCCCAATTTTTTTCCCCCTTTTCCAAATGCTCCCCATCTCATCCCTAGCCTGATTACTGATCTAGAAGGCATATACAGAGATAACCGATTCGGAGTTAACGAAGAGGAGAGAGAATTATCCCGTCTTCGGATCAGTAACATGATTTCCAACCTCCTCCGATACCCTGAGGGCAGGGTGGCCGAATGGGCTAACGCGTGTGACATGAAAATGGTCATGAGTTCGCGTCCCGGTACCAGAGGGGATTTTAAATTCCCAGCCCTCACCCTCTGGTCCCGGAAAATCCCGTATAGCCTAAAAAGACGAGGTAGGGAAGAACAGAAAAAAAAAGAAAAAAAAAAACCTCCAACACCCTCCCGTTCGTCCCCTTTATTCCCCATGTTCTTTAACCATTTATCCTCTAGGATTTTAATAAAATAGTTTTGCCACTATTCAGCCTATTTACGACCACCACCCTGGACCATCTCCTTCCTGTATAATGCAACAATCACCTATTAAATATTCAATATATATATATTTATATATACCCTTTACCTCGTGCAAATTTTCCCTCATTTTAAATTTAACCTTAAAAAATCCAAACCATTTTTAATCTATGTATTCGATTTATCACGACTTTGGTGGTTCCCGCCACTTGCTACAAGGGACAACTAGTTCACCTGCCCGCTACCTGGCAGCGCCACACAGCTCGGTCGTGCAATGTACCAAAAAATATTTTTTTTTTATTTCTTATTCAAATTATTAGAACTTTAAAATTATATGTAATTTTGAAGACGCATGTTTAGTGAAAAAAACTAAATATTCTACGACCTTCATTTGATGAGACCAAATATGAAGTTTTAAAATACGTTCTGGTTATAATTGGATTAAAATTACACAGATGGAAACAATTGTCGCCTTTCACATTGTTAAATCAATATGTTTACAAATTGGTGCGTGTTGCATTTTAATGACTTCATTCTGACGTAAATTAATGACGTCTTCATACATCACTAATCAATGGAAGTTGATGCTCTTATATAGCTTATTGGTTTGAAAGTGATTAGTTTTTGTGTGTGTGTTTTTAATTCAATAATTTATTAATTGAAAAACAATGAAACTTATTTAAATATTCCTGATATAAAGTGAAGTTAGCACAATTATTATTAACAAGTTTTGCTAAGTAGAGTCAGTATAGTTTCCTCACCTGCTTGTGTGTTACGTAATAAGCGGTTTGTCTGTGTTTTTTTTTTTATTTACTTATTTTACTCACATTTATTGTATATAATTTTTTATTAATATTTAGTTGTTATTTTGTTTCTGTTTATTTTATATTTTCTGTATATATAGTGTGGATGTAGTCTCACCTCACTATAATTATTGTGCATGTAGCAGAATGTAATTACCAAAACCTCAAATTATCGCACCTGATTTTTGTATTCATCATTAGCATAGGGTTCAAAAAACATTTTGATTACAGAAAGACGTTGGCGGTCGTTGGCGCGAGGTACTTTTCAACGGAAAAGGGTATTCCAGGATCCGTGGAGTGATAACTTATCTTATGAAAATACGATTTTTTTTTTAAATTAAGAAATAACTTATTTGACTCATTTTCAAAAATAACACAACAAAAACTTATTTTAAGAATTCAGCAAAAATGTTTAAAATATATTTAATGATTTATAACAAGTTGCATGATTATTATGGCAGAAACAGGCTTTTTAATTATATTTCATTGAATATTTTTGAAACTATTGTTTTTATTCGTGCCTAAAATCTAGCAATATGTGAGTTAACTATGTGAGACATTAAAAACATAGGAATTTGAATTATCATAACACCTTCAAAATAGGTTTTTTTACCGCTCTCAGACCTCTGTGCGACCTAATAACTATCTAATAATAGTGTAATAATTCTATTAAATATAATAAAAATACTAAACCTGTTCACTCATATTAATTTGTTTTAAATCTATATAAATAAAATAAAGTATTTGTCTGTACATTGAATAGAATTAAGCCGTTTTAAGATATTACAGACACCAAATCCACTTTTAAATTTTTTTTTGTCAGTCTGTATGTCCGTATTGCCAGGGGTAAGCTCGGCAATGGCTTATGGTAGACTTTTGAAATTTTTACATTACATTTAGGTTTGTTTGACTTAAAACATAGGGTTTAAATGAAAACAAAATATTGAGTAGAACCAAAGTAATAAATTCTTGAGTAATTTGTCTAGAGATCTCGGGTAATGTTGATAATAAACATATGTTTACAGGTTAAAAAACATCTATATAAATAAATAGAACTTGTAAATTGAATAGCACCAACTCTTTTAATATCTTTTCGTTTCATAAATTTTTTTTTTGTCAGTCTGTATATCCGTATTGCAAGGAGATTTTGTCAGGGTTAAGCTCAGCTATGGCTTTTTGTAGACTTTTGAAATTTTAACATTATATTAAGGTTTCTTGACTTAAAACAAAGGCTTTAAATGAAAACAAAATATTGAGTAGAACCAAAGTTATGAATTTTTGAGTCATTTGTCCAGAGATCCCGGTTAGGCAGTTACTTCGATTCTCATCCCAACTTACTCTACCGCGAGCCACATTTAAAAGTTGTACTGTTCAACTGATGGAAAAAAATATCACAAATCAATTGGAAAAACATCTTTAACGCGTTGTCGCATAAAACACAGTTAAAACACACTCATTTTTCAACTTTGTCCGATCTTCCTGTTCAAGATGTCATTCAATTCAACTTTCCGAGCCTAACAAATGTTGTAGTATACATTTGTAGGATTAATCAAACAGATTAGCTGGAAATCAGAGAAAAAAAATCCCAAACATTTCACCCTGCCCGCCACAATATTCAGATCAAGTTCTAATTTAATACGTATGTATTGTCTGACTCAATGTCCAAAGTTATTTTTGTTATTTTTCGAGCGATAAACTCAGCAGAGTTTAAAGAAGTGGAGAGACTACAACTCTTTTTGATTATTTCAATCGACTCCACAATCTCCTCGCTTCTTCAATGAGAATTAAACACTTAGCAAATTTTAATGGATCGGTGGTGATCGGTTTAGTTGTGTGGTACCTAAACAAATAGCCGAATAATAAAGTTTTTGTTATGACTATTGCGAAATCTTGACTTCCATAAGCCCTGTCATAAAAAATTATAAAACAACCCCCTTCCTCTCTCGACCCAATTTTCTGAAATTTAATTAGAACGCTCTTCCTCCCATAATACAAAATCCATCTCAAAAAAAGATTCTCAAATTTTAAATATACACACGTGAACGACGGGTACATCAGCTAGTATTAAATATAATACAAATACTTAATATGTTCACTCATATTTATTTGTTTTAAATATTATATAAATATATTTAATTAATTAATTCCTAATTGCAGGTAGCTATAAAGATCATAGACAAGTCTCAATTGGACGCTGTCAACTTACAGAAGGTCTACAGAGAGGTAGATATCATGAAGCAACTGGACCACCCCCATATCATCAAGCTTTACCAGGTAAAATTCATTATCTTTTTTATAAATTATACAAATAAACTATCATATACAAATAAATTATCTATTATTTGTATAGATAATGTATATCATTTATTAATTTCTTACCTATGCTAGGTAAGGAAAGTAATGCGATCGAGTCAAATTTCTATGTACATGTACCAAATTCCTTAGAAATTTCAGGAAATAAAGTTATATAAAAAATAAGAAAAATGTTTTGGCGTCTAACTCGTTAAGTATATTACATATGGCTGAAGGGTTAGATATCTAACTCTCACGCTGAAATCCTGAGTTCGAATCCTTAATCATATAATAATTTTAGGGGGCGGGGTGGCCGAATGGGCTATCGCGTGTGCACAGCAACCAGATAACGGAAGTTATGAGATTAAAAATATGAGTTCGTGTCCCATTGCCGGAGGGAATTTTAAATTCCCCGCCCTCACTCTCCGTCTCGGAAAAATTCCTTTCTTTGTACATTTTTTTATTTATTTTTTATTCTGTGTTGAACGTGAATTTCCATTTCCAGTCAAAAAGCATTATGAGTACTTTTCCTATTTATGAGATTGTATTTCTTTGAAATGTATTTTATTTTCTACTTATCTTCGACACACTTTACTCTATCTGTATGTGTGTATATATATATATATACTTAATTTAATTTTTTCTTCTCCTAATCTTTACGTGTATTCACTTAAACATCTTGGGAATATTTATTTATTTATATTTTATGCAATTTGCACCTGCGTGGCTGCTCATCTAGCAAATTTGTTGTGTTTGTACTGTCTTGGTGTATTTGCTTGATATGTTTTTTATTTATAGAGTAGGTATCTTGTCCATTTTCTTCATAATCTACGTTGTTCAGGTAACAGAGAGCTGGAGATGAAAAGAACCAGAGAATTGGAGTGATTTTGGGTTGAAGAATGAAATGTAGTGTATTTGTCGTGGATGTAGGATTTTATTGTTGGGGTGTTTAAGTCGTTATGTATAGTAGTATTTGAAATGTACCAAGGTATTTTATTTCTGTGTTAGTTTTGCTGAACTCCAAAGTTCTGCTCCATATGTCCATATTGGTCTCAGTAAGGTGTTGTAGATCAGTCGCTTGTTTCGTAAGTTAAGTGAAGATCTGTAGTCCAGAAGATGTTGGCTATATCGTCTAGTAAGTTCTTGTCTTTTTAATTTCGTATGTATGTTCCAAGTAAGTCTTTTGTCTAAGTAGAGTCCAAGGTACCGTACATAGATCTTTAAAGGCTCTGGGTTATTGGCAATCGTTATGGGTGGACATGAGGCTTTCCTAAGAGAGAAACTAACGTGGGTGGATTTATTACTATTAATTTTCATTTTCCAATTTTCAAACCACTTTTCAAGATCATGAAGATGGTTTTGCAGGGCAATTGATGCGATAGTAGGATTTTCGTGTGAAGTTAGAATAGCAGTGTTGTCAGCGAAGCAATAAATGTTGGTATTAGGGTGCTCAGGGATAGAACCGAAGAATTAAAACATAAGTGGAAGGTAAGTGCGGTTTTAGTTTCCATAAAAGGTCCTTGTGCCAGACACTATCAAATGCTTTCTCTATGTCGAGAAACTAGAAGAGAAGGGAATATATGTAAATCATTTTTTTACAACTTATTTTTTATATATCAACAGTAATTTTTTTACTTTCACTTACGTATATATGTAATATATAGTAAGGTAAGTACTGCGATAGAGAAAATTTTTGAATCTGTGTTTTCAACGAAAATACACGTTTTGAGGTACCCTGAGTCAAAATGACTGAGTCCCGAAAAATGGTCTGTGTGTCTGTATGTTAGCAGTCTAGATCAAAAACGAAAAGTCGTACGAAACTGATATTACGTATTTAAGATAGGTATATGCCTTAGATGTAACAGCAACTTTTCCCTCAAAATCGGCTAACCGGAAGTGCCACTTTATATCAACGCTGAAACACATTTTCACAGTTTTCTCAAAAACGGCTCTAACGATTTTGATTAAACTCGGTTTATCATTGTATAATTATGTGGTCTTTAATATGAATTAGGTCTTATCCCCATTGATGTCACTTTACAGGGCTTAAATGCCCAATGTTCATATACGTCTTCCTCTAAAGTACCTTTAATATGGTTTATTTTAAAAAGATAATTATTTCGCATTATTCAGAGTTACGGAAAAATGCTAAATATAACTTTTGAAAGAATTTGGTAAGTTAATAAAGGAGAAAAAAAATAAAAATGCAGAAAAACGTAGCTATAGACTGTAGCGCCTAAACGAATGTATTTTAAATAATTACAAATTATTATGTTTGTTTTTATTTGGTCAGATATAACATTTTAATTTTGTACTTTTTTTGTTATTCTGAAGGGACTTCGGCCCAGAATAAAATAATTTTCTATTCTATTCTATTCTATTCTTTTCTAGATCCTCCCATTCCATTATCCGGTATTTGACAGTCTGGCACCCGGGATTTCTTTAGAAGCTCCGTAAATTCCTTCCCCCTACATATCTCCTCATCATCCATTTGTAGCTTACTGATAGATACTTCAAAGTAAATCAAAATAATGACTATTCATTAATCTTCTCTCAACTGCCCTTATTCCTTAAGGTACTTGGTCCAACCCTTTACACAGTTTATACATCAGACATCACCTAGCACTGTCATCATGCTAGAGACATGGTTAGAAAGTAAAATGAAACCAAAGTAGAAAATGGATGACCATACATTGATGTAGAATGTAAATATAAAATTAAAATAGAATAAATGAGCGATTATACAAAGCGGAAATACTCCTTCTTATATCCTAAAGTTAAAATAACATTTAATTTTATACATAATGAAAACAATAAATAAAAGAAAATCATGTAATAATTTCGAAACTATTCAACTTAAATAGCTGCATTAGTTGTAGACAGAAAATGACAAGAATATGCACATTACAGATTGTATAATGTAGGATTTAACTCTATAAGAATTTTTGAGTCTGTGTGTTTGTATGTTAGCAGTCTAGCTCAAAAACGAAAAGTCTTATGAAACTGATATCACGTATTTAAGATAGGTATATGCCTTAGATGTAACAGCAACTTTTTCCTCAAAATCGGCTAACTGGAAGTGCCACTTTATATCAACGCTGAAACACATTTTTATAATTTTCTTAAAAACGGCTCTAACGATTTTCATTAAGCTCGGTATAATGAATGAATTGTATAATGAAGTGGTCTTTAATATCAATTTGGTCTTATCCTCATTGGTGTCATTTTACAGGACATAAATTCCCGATGTTCATATACGTCCTCCTCTAACGTGTGTCTGTGTGTAAAATGACTTTCCTCAAAAATGTTGAAATTGGAGTTAGTCATTCTGTGGTTTATGAAAGCAAATGGCGTGACTAGATTTTTATTGCCTACCGTCGAAATATTAAATAGACATTTTCTAATTATAATGGTCTTGATGACTTTTTATCTGTAAGCTTTAAGATTTAGCTCCGTTTAAAATGCACATCAAAAAAATACATAATAGCCCAGCATTGCCTGAAAATAATTTCTATTCAAAGTAGATAGGTAAGTGAAAGTTGTGTGTTGTGAGCACCAGATTTTTAAATTTTTTATATTCCATCACTACAATGCTTTGCCTATAAAATTTATTTAGAGTTTCTTTCTAATTTCATTTAGTGATTATTATGTTATTGTTTCAGCTCTAATATTGTAGTATTGCAACACTAATACCCAACTGTTTTCGTTAATATATCCTAAGAGCTATCTATATACTTATTTTATTACTCGTATTTTAGTTATTCTTTATTGTTATAGGTATTTTGGCCAGATTATAGGTATATGGTCTCATTACACCTATTTATAGTGCGGTAGACAAACATACGGCTGATACCCTAAGGTTTCAAAGTGTTGAAAATCTCTGACCAACACTTTCCAACTTTGTATAAGGCAATCAGACAGCTACTGAGCGAAAAAAAAATACAAACTAATTGGGATTATTATCCTGACATTTAAAGAAAATAATCTGTATATATATGATATTTGTATATATATATATATATATATATATGTGTGTATATATATATATATATATATATATATATATATATATATATATGAAATATATAGTAAAGGGATTCCTCTTCAGGGGAAGTATTCCGATGAACTGTGAGCTATACTGCCTTTATTAGCAGATTTTTTAATTTTTATTAAACGATCAAATTGCTATATTTTAGTGGCTGATTCGCATTTTGTTCCACATAAATATTTTTTGTTATAAAGTTAAGAAGACTCAATTATTCTTGGTTTCCGATTAATTCAGCACTTACTAGACAAACGTTCTAAACTTCCAATTAATTACAAAAGACTCATATACTTGACAATAATAAGACCTATTTGCACTTACGGAGTTGAGCTATGGGGCTCCACTAAACCATCGAATTCCTCTCGTATCCAATCCTTACAATCCAAAATCCTTCGTAAAATACTCAATGCTCCCTACTTTATAAATAAAACCATCCATAATGACCTTAATGTTTCTTAAGTTTCAGATCTATCCCAACCCTCTTCTTTCTAATCCTGCTTCCTCTTCAATTCCTGACAACCCACCGAGGCGTCTGAAAAGAAGATGGCCCCGTGATCTCGTAATGTAGACATATCATTAGAGTGCTACCATTGGGTAGTTACTCAGCAAGTGTTTTCATGTCATTATATCCATTATGTTCAAATTTACTAGATGTATTTATTTGATACAGTTGTAAACATCATAAAGAAATAATAATAATAAAAAAGTAAAGACATAATTTTATGTATATGCTCTATTCGAAACCTTCATAATTATAATCTTTAATCATAATACAAAATAAAATTATGGGCGCCGCATACTGCTTGCAGATAATGAGGTTAAACATTGAAGATAATTACTTGTGTTTTTAAATGACGTAGACTCTCTGAAAATATGTATTTGTTTTATGTAACATTTAGGTTGGGATTTTTTTCTCAAAAATTCTTATAGAGTTAAA